TTATTGTCTACTTTTAATGTTGATAGCTTATCTGCATTTGCGAATATATCACTTTTTTCGCGTTTCCCCGTGCCCCTACTTCTGCGCGCTCTACAGGCAGCCAGCTGAATCAAAGCATTTAATGTCAAACATTCAAAAAAATTGAAATATGGAATTGGAGAAAAAAATTTTATTTTTTTGTTCAGGTTCAGTAAGTAAGTAAGTAACGAGGAATCAGCAGAAAGACGAGCAGATAGGCTTGAGAGAAAACGATTGAGAGTTAGGCACTCGCGTTCTGCAGCAATCGATTTGATTCACTCTCAAAATAATGAACGCGACGGGGCAAGGGTAGCTGAAGCGCGTTTACAGCTTGCAGAAGATCAAAACCTGCAATACAATCGTCTTGCATTCAGATATAATCCAACTATTGATTACAGCTCGAATCGAATGTCGTTATTGGACGAATGCATCAGGTCTGCATATACCGTCAGGCTCTCAAATTCAAAAACGAACCAAAAGGATTGTGTTGCGCTTCCGGGAAAGTGGAATTGCCTCAACTTGAAGCACCACCAGAGCCTCTGCACTCTCTATTCGCTGGATCTACTGCAGAATCGAAGCATTTCCTGTCGAACATTCGGAAATACAACTCTTTCAAATGACGTCATTTGGTGCGGAAATTATAACTGCACAATTCATGCCAACTTTTAAAATCAAAGGACAAATCTATCATAAAGCCGGTTCCCTGCTTCCGTTCCCAGACAGCGAACACAAATTTCTTTTTCTTGGTGATGACGGAAATGAAGTAGATGCACGTTATGGAATCAATACCTAAATACGCTGAAGAGGCACATTATTTCGCAGCTACAGAAGCTTTTTCACGAACGGAACAATTTGGTGCGTTTATTCAAAACAGCAATTGATATGATGCCTTCGGATACCCATAAAATTGTCATTCATGCAGACAAAACGCCTGCTGGAGAACATATCAGGAGATATAATGCTCCAACTATAGACGAAGTGGCAATTGTCATAGTCGGGGATCAGTTTCAACCTCGAGATATTGTTCTCCATCGACGAAACGATCGATTGGTAAACGTCGCAGAAACTCACCGTTGTTACGATGCTTTGCAGTATCCACTAATCTTCTGAGATGGTGCCGATGGATACCATTTCAATGTGAAGATGGTAGATCCAGTCAATAGTGTAGAAACGAATAAAAAGTGCAGCGCGATGAACTTTTACTCATACAGGTTAATGGTTCGGAGGACCGATTGCAATCATATATTGAAATGTCGTCAGATGTTTCATCAGTACATTGTCGATATGTATGCAAAAATTGAAACAGAACGTTTGCTGTTCCTCCGATTGAATCAGACGAAACTTCGGTCCGATGAATATATACATTTGCGGGATGCTGTAATGAATGACCGTAATACAACCAACGTTGGAAAGCTCACGATTTTGCCATCCTCATACATAGGTAGTCCACGCCACATGCAGGAATATGCTCAAGATGCCATGGCATATGTTCGTTGCCACGGCCGTCCAGACTTATTTATCACCTTCACATGCAATCCAGCTTGGGACGAGATAGTACAGCTGTTATTTCCTGGACAATCGTATAGGGATAGGCATGACATCACAGCCCGTGTTTTCAGACAAAAGCTCAAGTCACTGATGGATTTCATTGTGAAACATGGAGTTTTTGGATCTGTGCGGTGCTGGATGTATTCAGTAGAATGGCAGAAGAGAGGATTGCCGCATGCGCACATACTGATTTGGCTGTATGATTTTTATCAAAATTACTCCAGATGAAATCGACGATGTTATATGCGCTGAGATTCCACGGGCCGAGGTTGATACGGATTTAAATGAAGTTGTCATCAAGAACATGATCCATGGCCCAATTGGTACCCTCAACCCATGTTCACCATGCATGGAAGACGGGAAGTATTCCAAGCGATATCGTCGAGCATTTACAGCCAACACCGTAACAGGGGACGATGGATATCCTCTGTATGGGAGACGGTCAACTGAAGATGGAGGGACTTCGGCAAATTTAAACATGAGAATTGGTGATATTGAGGTAGACAATCGTTGGGTGGTTCCATACTCACCACTATTGTCAAAATCATACAAAGCGCACATCAACGTAGAATATTGCAATTCCGTGAAATCGATTAAATATATCTGCAAGTACGTGAATAAAGGCAGTGATATGGCAGTTTTTGGTGTTCAGGCAGAAAATGGTGACAACAATGCAGAACGAGTTGTCGATGAAATATCTCAATACCAAGCTAGAAGATACATAAGCAGCAACGAGGCTGCATGGAGAATTTTTTCGTTCCCCATTCATGAACGCTATCCAGATTTAGTTCACTTGGCAGTCCATTTGGAGAATGGTCAACGTGTCTATTTCACAGAAAGAAATGTGCAAGAAAGAGTCCTGAATCCGCCAGCGACAACTCTGACTGCCTTCTTCACCTTATGCCAGAAAGATGATTTTGCCAGAACCTTGATGTATTCAGAAGTGCCCTCTTAACCATAATATGCCACAGAGAAACGTGGCAGGGTACAGCTAGTATATCTATAAGATTTCAAAAAGAATCTTTCCATATCTTTGTCACAGACATTGTTGTATTCTTCTCAAAGCAAATCAAGTGCGAAACACGTTTATTATTTTATGTTTTTACCACCACAATAGAAATTTTAGCAAAAGTGTCCAGAGATTGTTCCGTGATCGTGATTTTGGTGCACTTTGTACAATTCACAGTCCATAAAACCCTCACTAAGTCACTAATAAACACAAATTGCTTTGTTACTTGCCACTGATTTGGCTTGTGAAAGTCGTTGGGGTTTGAGGGCGAGAGTACCCATATACCAACAGTGGGGAAAGACTAGAGAGGGAGAGAGGGGGTGAAGGAAAACCTCCCAACATTTTCCACTTGTTGCGTGACCATAAAAATCTTTCTCGACTCCATCAGAGCGGTCCTATAAAAAAGCTCTCTTAAATGCGGCAATTTCAATCTTATCGCACTCCACTCACATTATCGGTGCCGTTCGATCGAGTCGAAAAAAATCAAATTAACACCTGAGGCAGCCACCGTGAGTACCGAGGACTGTTTGGGGGAATTAAAAAATTTGTACCTGTATCAAAACAAAATCCCCGATATTGCTATCTATGCGGCATCAGAAGCTCATGATGTCTCAATGCCGCAAAATGAATAAAAACCGGACTGCTGTATGTGCAACAAGTTTTTTTTTTATTATCAGTGCAAAGGAAGTCAATGAAAATGAAGCTGTAAATTAATTCCACCGGCTGGCTGGCTGCCCCGAAAAACGTGGCAAGAGTTATGCAAATCTCTGGCAGAGGAGCCTCATGATGATGATGATGATCATCATCAGACTGACCTGACTCATCCCCCTGGGAGGGAGCGGTTAATTAAGGCAAGATTTATGCCCTTAGCCCACTAAAGAATTTATATGCCAAATAATACAATGCCCGCAATGCCGCAGCATTGCCAAATCAAGTGTCTAACTTAATGATGCTCAACATAAACACGCAGACTAGGGTACAAATAGAAAAAAGAATAGGAAATAATCTTTTCCTCCGTCGATTTCTGTGGCAGATCTCAGTGCGTGTTACGCAGTTTCTTGGCGTTTTATGAGAACTTTCAACTTGTGGGCGCTCCTCCACCTATGTATATGTAGGTACCTCCATCCATACCCAGACACTGTGGGATACATATACAGTATATCCCCGAGGTGGTGTGGGTGGGCAATGTATTATTTCTGATATTCTAAATATTTCATACAGTCATAGACATTAGTTTATTTGGTTGTTTATGCAGTCCAAGTGGAATGGGTGGCACACAACAACAACAAAAAAAAACCAAACAAGAAAACCCCTACGAAAAAAAAATTGAACATAACACATATATTCAAAATAAACTGAAAAATTTAAGTAACTAACGAGGGATGGACGGATGGATATACTTTGAAGTTCATATTGGTTGGGGGGAGGTGGCCCCGGAAATACAATTCCTTAAAAAACACTTGGGAATTATAAGAGAATATGCCGAATCAATCATCAGATTTGCAGATGTTTTTGAAGTTTAAATAGAATAGGTTTCATTTGGTTTCAGAGATCTAAATGTTATGCTATATGATATGATATTCAACATTAAAAATGATTCAAAAATCATTTCGAGAAATTATATGGTTTGGGAATCTATTCGATATGATATGATATCTGATACATCAATCAAATATATGCTCTGCTTTTATAATTAAAATGTAAAATAAATATATACAAAAATATTATTATATATATTGATTCACTAAATTTACTGTTCTCATCCTGATTTAAAAATCATATCAAGAAATTATATGGTTTGGGTATCTATATGATATGATATGATACCTGATATTTTGATCTGATATCTTCATCTCTACTTTTATAACTAACATGTAAATTAGATATATAAAAATCATCCTGGTTTAAAAATCATCTTATGAAATTATATGGTTTGGGGATCAATATGATTTGATATGATATGATTCATATCGGAGATATCATTACTATCTAAATCAGATATATTACACTTAACTTTTATAATTAACGTGTAAAATATAAATATAATAAAAAAGGTAGTTCACTGTTCTCATCCTGATTTAAAAATCATCTTAAGAAATTGTATGGTTTGGGTATCTTATGATATGATATGAAATGATTCATATCGGAGATATCATTACTATCTAAATCAGATATATTCCACTTAACTTTTATAATTAACGTGTAAAATATAAATATAATAAAAAATTAACTTGTGAAATAAAAATATAATAAAAAAGGTATTCAGGACGAAATTCACTGTTCTCATCCTGATTAAAAATCATCTTAAGAAATTATATGGTTTGGGGATCTATATGATATCTGATATTTCAATCTGATATATTCCACTCCTTCTTTATAATTAACTTGTAAAATAAATATATAATAAAAAATGGTTGTCACTTACTAAATTCACTGTTCTCATCCTGAATCCCAATGACGGTTCCATCTCGCATCACCTGCAGCATATGATTTTTGATATACAACCGTATTTTGCGGGATGACCAGTCCAAATGGGACTGGGGCACGGTGGAGCGTTCGTTACGATCCAGATTGCTGATGGGAGGAGTGTTACTGCTACTGCTATTTATGCTTAGATTACTTCTAGGGTTGCTCAGTCTTTTCGATTTCGAACCAATGAAATTATTGCCAGTCGGCGACTCTTGCTGGTGATGAGGATGTGCGTGCTGCTGATGCTGCTGCTGATGCTGGAGGTGATGCTGATGCGGATGCTTCTTCTGCTGCTGCTGCTGCTGATGCTGGTGACGAATGCTGCGCTCGGTGCGAGACAGGACAGCCAGATGCTGACTCGGCACTGCCGAGATGACAAAGCCCAGGGGCTCATCCTTCTCCAGCTGCTCCTGCTCTCCTGCGGAGTCTGGCTCTGTGGAGCTCTCGATATCCCATGTGGGGGATGATGATTGGGGAGGTGTGCTTGCTGTGGTTACTATGGCAGTTAATTGCGTGCTTAAGCTCTGATTAAATTCAGCATTAATACTTTGATTTGTGGATTGATTTACATTACGTTCACTCACGACTACGCTTGCCACTAAACTACTACGACTATGATCACTTTGTATATAACTATTACTATTGTTCATGCTGCTGGCTGGGTAAGGGGATGAGGATGCGGATGCAGCTGGTAGTGTCTCCATCGCGGGCATCGCAAAGACCAGGCCCGGCCAGGCGATGATGAGCGAGAGGAGGGCGCCCAGCAGGGCCAGGGCCCTCCAGTCCAGGCGCAGGTTTCTTCGCATCAAAGATCACCACAGATTTCGAGCCGTGAGCCGCAGTATTTCGCCCCGAGTTGCCGAATGCCTGGGATTGCGTGTAAGTCGTCGCTCTTTCAGTTGTTTATTGTTTGTTTGCCAGTTTATTTGGGCGTATGCCACGCCCTCGGATGTCGTTGAAACATATGAACGCCCCGTTTTGAGAAATCTTTTTTTTTTTGTTTTATTTTACTTTCGATTCGTTCGCTTTTCGGTTTCACTGGAAGGAAGAGTCTCTCTCTGTTTTGCCCGTTTAATAATTTTGTAATAAAATCTCTTTTCTTTTTCGCCTCTTTACCGGCAGGAAAATTAGGTTATCATATCGTAGACTTGTTCAACACTTTTCATTTGCTGTTGCGGATCTTCATCTTCGTCTTCCCCGCTGATAATGCATCTTATCAACGCGAATGATTGTCTTGTCATGTCAAATCTTCCCTTGATACAGCCGGGGGATCTTTGAATGCCGCAATCTCTTAGCTCTTTTTTTTTTTTTTGTTGGCCTAAGTTGAGGTGGCCAACATAGTTGGAGATGATGGGCTGTAAATAAAAGAATTTGGGTTAACATTTAATTGACAGCGGTAAAGTTAGGCTTATCATTAAAACAGAGATTACATTGACTTAATTTAACTTAAGTAAAACCTATTCATTTCTCACATGCTCAAAATTTGTTGGTTAGTGTTTCTCTAAACCAAAATTTATGACATTCCCGAATTGGCTTTGAAAATTCCATTGCTAACATTTTTGCACCTCAAAATTGGATTAAGCAAAGTCGTACATAAATTCATCAGCTAAGCGCTTTCAACGCGATTTTTGACATTTTAATTAGTTGTCGACTATATAAAAAACCCAAAGCGACAGCATGTGTCCCAGTTTTGCAGAGAGTCAAGCCAAGATACCAAAAAGATACAATTGTATCTATGGGGTGCGACAAGTGATCTGAGGGAAGTTACATAAAAACTGCCCAAAGGGAGCAGTTACGCAAAGCAGAAAAACACCGAAAATGACTTTCCCAGAGGCATAAAGAAGCGGCAAAGAGACGACGGGGAAATTGTTTAAAAATAAATTGAACAACAACAAACAATTCGCGCAGAAAACTGTGTCGAATTTGAAAATAATCACGCACTAACTGCGGCGTCAGGCGGCAGAGTATCTCTCTATCTGCACTCGGTATCCGTATCTATGGGTGGTGCACAGGGCACACGGGGCGGATGAGTGACGTTGCCGCTGCACTTAGACGCGACTCCTGATTTTTTGGCACGTGTTCAGCAAAGAGCCTACGCAGCGACAGAGGCATTTTTTATGCAACATTTAAGTGCACCCCGTTTTAATTACCATAAACACACAAAAAACAAATCCAATTGGCGACAAACACAGACACCACTCATAACAACACACAGGGAAGTCATATCCCATCAAAATGTTAATTGCTTTTGCGTCCTTCTGGCAGACTGCCCTCGGCGTTACGCAATCCAAACCAGGCGTTGACTTTGAGATCGAGATATAATACATTTCGGTTACGAACATTCCCAATCGTAAAAATTTGGTATAAAAACAAAGCCAAATTCCAAGATTAGTATTTGTGTCATATTAAAATCGCCAAAGTTATTCCCTTACTTGGTGGCAGATCAAGAAATATATATTCCAAGTATGTGCGACTTTAATGCCTTTCACCCAGATAAAAGTATGCATTAAAAATATTTATTATATGTGTGCCAGCGCATGCAAAATGTGTGCCAAGCTTCACCGCAAAATCTGCGTTGTTTATCTCTTTTCTCTTCAGTTTTAGAGTTTATGTAAAATTCTCAAAGGGAAACAGCCTGTCCAAAAGATATAAAAAACTTCCCCAAGCTGTAAAAATAGACTCTGCACACCTAATGCCTAAATATGTAGATGGATTACATAAAAATCACACCTTTGGGCAAACACAAATTAATCTGCTTTTACGACTCGATCCATCTGTCACTCATAAGCCTACTAAATTCAACAAATTATGAAGAACATAAAACATAATGAAATCTTTTGTGTGGTTCCCCCTCTGCTTCTCCCATTCTTGGCAAGGAAGTACATATATAATCAAAGGCAATATTTAATCAGAGTGAAAACCTGATTACAGTGATTGCTCTGGCAAATTACGCCCATTTTGCAAAACAAAGATTGGGCTTCCCGAAACCGAAAGTCCAACAGTCACTGAACTTGTACCTGAACTATAATCACTTATGGCCCAAAGAACTCTTTTCTGTTTTGACTCACTTAACACTTTTGTCATCGAGTGAATTTTTGGATCCGTTATAAAACTTGATATTCACTTAACCCAAATTTGAGTGCCAAACTTCGGTGGCAATCGCCTAATCAAATTAATGTCCAAAGCACAAAAAAACAGCGACATTCAAAATGCGAGATATTCAAAGAAAAAGTATATTAATGAATGGCCCAGAGTCGTGTGGCGGCAGTCTTTGTTCAGCGAATGAATACATTTTATAATAAAATGATCTTGAATATTGTACAATGGGTGTAAATGAGATAAAGTGAATGAATAGCAGTGAGCAGTGGCTCTGAAATAGCATCATCTGGTGATAAGGGAAATTACATAGTAACGTTATTAATTATATTGCTACTTCTATTTGAAGTATTGAGAAATAGGTAGGAAATTGTATGCTTCGTTTTTGGGGGTTTTATATAAATTAATATCATTATTAAACTTAAAGAGTTACAGTCTAGAGTTCATTCTCAAATACAAACTAAGCTTACTTATTGTAATTCTATATTATAAGTCTACTGCTGTCTTCAACTAATATCTTATATGTCTGCTTCCATTCTCATCCATCTCAAAACTTAATTACATATTTTAAATATCTCTAGAAATATACAAAAACTTGCATAAACCCCGCCCATAGTGCATTTTAAAGAGCATCTCGTTTGATATTATCTTTGCAGCTTGACAACAAGTAGTCACTAAAACCGTTGAGCAAAATACTCAAGCCAAGTATTTAAATTAGGGTCTCCATCTGAAACCGAAGCCTAAGCCTAGTCATTGAACTGAAATGGCAGTCGCTCCACAAACTTATTAGCAAATTTCGCTATGTGGTTTTTGTTTAGCTTTGGTTTTGTTTTGTTTCGTTTTGTTTTGGTTTTCGAGCAACGCCAAATTTATGCGTTTCAAATGCGTTTGACATTTGCGCTAGCCGCTGTTTTTTTAATGGCTCCGCTGACAGATGGGCTTAGGCATTTGGAAAGTATCTACCGGATCGGAAAGCCTGGGACAGCGATAAATCTAAGCCGGGCTGCGCAACTTAATTAGTTCATGTCAGACGCTTGGCTACTCAAAAAAAAAAAAGAAAAAGAGCAACAAAAGGGGTAAAGCATTTATTACACTCTGAACTATTGGACATATGTAAATTTGATTAGACTTCCAGTTCTCGCGTTTGCCATTGCTAATATGCAAATGATTCACAACGAAAAAACATAATAATAACCAAACAAAATATATTATAAAAGGTGAATAAAAATTGTAATAGTCGCATAAAATAAATACGCGATGACGTTAGCATAATGTTAATATATTTATACCTTTTTCAGGGTATTTTAGTTTAAGGCAGAAGACTAACAACATATGAATCCTATATATTATTGATAAGAAGTTTTCCCATTTGTTTCAACATTTACAAAAATTTGCAATAAGTTGAATTATTAAGAATTTTAATTGAGTATGTAGTAATATTATTAAAAAGTTAAAGAATTTAAATGAGTGAATTTTTGGCTTAGTTAAGATCAATCAATACTGCAAAGGTCTTAGAACATTTTTTCGCATTTTAATATTTTCAATTTTAATCCCAAACTTGGTAATAATTTATTTTCCAGAAAATCTTCTTAAAAAACTAAAACGTCCAACCGATAACTTTCTATTTATCATCAGAGATCATATACTAGTTTTATATTATTTAAACAAACGTTCTAAACAAACATCAAGTTGGTTAACCAGTTTAAGCATTTGAAAAAGTAAACATTTCGGGTTTTAATTATATTTATACGTTTTTTGGCTACTCTGTTGTTTTTAATGATTTATTTACTTGTTTTTCAGAAGCAGTGCCAATTTCCTGTATTTATTACCAGAATCCATTACGAAAAGAAACAATTTAGTAACACCATAATATCTCATGCTTCTTGCGGTTGGCAAGGGGTAAAAAAATAAAATATGGTAGACCACAAATTCCCAGACTCTTCACTTACATGTGCAATTTATTCATGGCTTGTGGTTACTATAGTTTGGGCAATAAAATAAATAAGCCCCGAAGAATAAAAGAGACAATGTTGTGTTGCAACAATTGGAGGTAACACCACCCCCACCGTCCTTCTGTGTATGAAAAAATATTTCAATGCCAAACAGAAAGCGAATAGAATTTAACAAGTATAAACAGATATATCATATACATATAGTATATCTGTGCTGGTTTTAACAATGAAATTCTAGTTCAAGAACGGATATATTTTCGATTCATTTTCCCTGTTTAGTGTCTGACGTTCATTGTCTTGTTGACACTTGTCACAAGATGGAACGAGAATAAATATACTTGTTTTTCCTACGTACATCTGTGTATTATGGAATGCTTAGCTAGAGATTGATGTGCGGTGGCATTCGCTGACAACTGGCTTATAGATGAATAAGTATCTCGATATAATGCAAACAAGAAGGTGCATTTGTCGCTGATCTGGTTCTCCTCAGACCCCTCGATGGAGCTCCATCCCCACCCCCGCCTCCGATTGACTCTCGTGTTTACAAAACAATTAATTTTCTTTGGAAAAACAAGAAATGCAGTTAACCCGGGGTGGGGGGCAGGGGAAATGAAAAAGATACCGAAACATAACTCAGGCAGGGAAATGCACTAATCGATGTGCCGCTTAAGATACTTGAAGGCAGCACTGTTAGATGCTACTTGCCAACAATCCTTTCCTCGGGGGAAAGCTGGCGCTGCGCCGGGGAAAATGAAAAAGAAAAGTACGAGCAGACAACCTGAGCAACAAAGGCAGCGCTTTTTGTGTAATCGATTTGAACCGGAAGCAATTGGGTTGCCGCAGTCTCCGCGGCAGCGGCAGCGGCATCGGAAAATAAAATCCTCTCAAGATGCAGCTATTTTAAATATTTAGTGCACGAGACAGGCGAGGGCAGTACACTGCAAACACACACACACCATTCTCACCATTCAATCACATGCGATCCGATGCTATCAACAAGGCAAATATCGGATACTATATAAGATATATAAGTTCTTAGGTAGGATTTATAGAGAGACAAGAGATATTTGCTTAATTTTGCAAAGTAGTTTGAAAGTTTCTTAAAATTTTACTGTTCTTAGGAACTTAAAAGTAAGTTTAATACAGATATTATATGATATGTGATATGTGATATATAATATATGATATGATAAGTACATAGTACACATCACTTAATCATGCAAATTGGGACTTGGACTATATGGTAGAA